AAAAAATTCTGTTCGAATGGAGTTAGGGCTGAGGATAAGTATCAGGGTAAAGGACCTCACAGGGATGTCATAATTAGCCCAAAGGCAAGTATTATAAACCTAGGAAATTGGTTAAACTTAAATATGAACATCTTATGGTAAAGACGCTCAAATAACCTTAACTCTGCCCTGCAGTGACCCTCTGCATTAACTATAGTCAAGACTGTTCCTTCAGGGTGTCATTATAGGGCAGCGTTACGATGGTTTAACTGAATACTTTGATACCTTGAACGTATTTAGATTTGTCCTCCTTTGGCTCCCGTGGCGTAAGTAACTTCACGGTGCAGGTCCAAAAGCCGGTAAGGAAGAATTCTGCCCCATCGGCTTCCACTCGCCTATCACTTCATTCCCTGAGACTCTGGGTTTGAGTGGTGCCCTGAGCTGCACATCTTTGAACTGAGAGATCATTCTGCCCGTTGACCCTGCATGGAAGCACCAAAGCTTGGCTACTGAAATAGGGCTGGGGCTAGTTGGTAGATTTAAGTCTGCCTTGTCTGAATGCTGGAGGTGGGGCTGTTCAAGATTTGGGAGCTCCCTTCTCCCACTTGCACGAAAATGGATTTGTCCAAGGGGAATTAATTACCTGCCATCTGTGGTATAAATGAGGAGTCCTTGTGGCACCTTCGAGACTAACAGATTGATTTGGGCATAAGCTTTTGTGGGCTATATGAAAATTATATAGTTGCTTAGGCCCAAATAAATGTGTTAGTCTCTAAGGTGCCACAGGGACTCCTCGTTGTTTTTGCTGATACGCACTAACACCGCTATCCCTCTGAAAGTTGATGTCTAGTACCTGAAACTTCAAATAGCCACCTTAGGTTGGAGCTTTTATTTGAAAAAAACTCAGGTTTCTGCTTGCGTGACACTGATGTAAATCCACCAATGTAGAGGCCCGGGGGTATGGTTTGCATTTTAGAGCAAAGGGATCCTGAAATCAGGGCTGCTGGGTTCTATTCCCAACTCTACCACAGACTTGTGACCTGTGGTAAGTCCCTTCACTTTTCTGTGCCTCAGTTTCTCCAGGGGGTAATACTTCCATTGTGGTAGAGATTCTGAGGCTTAATATATTCCCTGTAATGTGCTCTGAAATCCTCCAAGGGTATTTTAAGGGAACAGCACTTCACAGGCAGGGAGTAAGAATTCCATGCTCGCAATCCATGCATGTGTATCACACCAGCTTCGGAACTGCATGTGCTAGGCTTCACTGCTCCCCTTGAACCACATCCTGACACGCTCCCTGTGCTATGGGGCCATGCCATGGCTGTGATCTGTGCCCTCTCCTCGTTACCCACAATTTACAGGGTCTCTGAAATGATTTTCAAATCCGTAGGAGGTGTATTTTCTGGGTGGGTGTGTGTTTGTGTATTTAATGCTCGTTGAACGGTTTACTCAATTTCAGGCAACCTGAGGGAGTCTGTGCTTCCTTAGCTACCATGTTTAGTGTGTCAACCTGTTGCTGGATCATGCTGTGCCAATACAAATGTATTTAAAGCAGCCCGGACCTGATGTCCGCTTTCTGAGTTCCATCTTTAGGGATTTGACACCATACATCTCTAAACTACAGGAGGGTCCAGAATATTCCGGGTGGACTTCCCAGCTGCAAGAAGCTGAACTTCCTGTCCACTTCCAAATCTAATTCCCATCTCTCCATGGGCTTGTTCCACCCAGACCTCTGACTCCTTTCTGTCTCCCCTTAATCTCAAATCCATCTCCACACACCTCTGCGCCTCCCCTTTGCACAGTTGCAGGGTGCTCTTGTGTTTTCCCATCCATCTAACCCTCCCCTTCTCCTTTCCAAGACTGACTCCCTTCCCTTCTTTAAATTTCACCTTAACACCTCCCTTTCTCCTTCACTTACAGCCAAAGTCTCTGAGCAGCACGTGTGACAGTGTGCTTGAAGCATGTAGAGAGAAGAGGGACTGCATTGTCAGAAGTGTTCATATATGCTCGCTCCCTTTTCTTTGGATGGGGCACACACGATCCAAGTTAAAGGCAGTAGACAGAGAGGAGGCTGCTCAGGGCTAAAACTCTTTTTTTCCCATTGACTCATAGACTTTAAAGCCAGAAGGGACCATCATGTTCAGCTAATCTGAGCTGCTGTACGTTGCAGGCCACAGAACATCACCCAGCCACTCCTGTAATAGACCTCTAACCTCTGGCTCAGTTACTGACCTCTTCAAATCATGATTCAAAGACTTCAAGTTCCAGAGCATTCACCATTTACACTAGTTTAAATGTGCAAGTGACCCGGGCCCCATGCTGCAGAGAAAGGTGAAAAAAACCAGACTCTCTGCCAATCTGACCCAGGGGAAAATTCCTTCCCCACCCACCCCTCAGATATGGTGATCAGTTAGACCCTGAGCATATAGGCAAGACCCACCAGCCAAACACTTGGAAAACAATTCTTTGTCATAACTCAGAGCCCTCCTCATCTAGTGTCCCCTCACCAGCCATTGGAGATTGGCTACATATCATTGTAGCCAGTCTCATCATACCATCACCGCCATAAACTTACCAAGCTCAGTCTTAAAGCCAATTAGGTTCCCCCCCCCCCCCCGCTACCCTTGGGAGGCTGTTCCAGAACGTCACTCCTGTGATGGTTAGAAACCTTCATCTAAGTTGAAGCCTAAACTTGTTGATGGCCACTTTTATATCCATTTGTTCTTGTGTCCACGTTGGTCTTAACTTAAATAACTCCTCTCCGTCCTTGGTATTTATCCCTCTGATGTATTTATGGGGAGCAATCGTATCTCCACTCAGCCTTCTTTTGATTAGACTGAACAAGCCAAGCTCCTTGAGTCTCCTCTCATAAGCCAGGTTTTCCATTCCTCGGATCATCCTAGTCCCCCTTCTCTGCACCTGCTCCAGTTTGAATTCATCTTTCTTAAACATGGGAGACCAGAACTGCACACACTATTCCAGATGAGGTCTCCTCAGGGCCTTGTTTATTGGTACGAACACTTCCCTGTCTCTACTAGAAATACCTCCCCTGATACTTCCTAGGACTGCATTAGCTCTTTTCACAGGCGCATCACATTGCTAACTCATAGTCATCCTGTGATCAACCAATACACTCATGTCTTTCTCCTCTGTTACCTCCAACTGATAAGTCCCCAGCTTATAGCAAAAATTCTTGTTGTTAGTTCCTAGCGCATGCCTTTGCACTCTTAAATTTCATCCCATTTCTATTAGTCTAGTTTTAAAGGTCATCCAGATCTTCGCAACTACCTCTGAGGATCTAGGCCAAAGTTCCTGCAACCAGAACATAGGCCTTACCTACACGTGTTGCTTAGTGCACTAAGGGAAGCCACTGTGGGGATGATGAGTGTGGTATAAGAACCTCTGTAGAATAGAGCAGACATAAGTTGCACCCATTTAACTATAATTTTAAACCAATGCAAACGCCCATGGGGGCATACGTAAGTCAGTTTACACTCGCTAAGAGCAGTTTAGCTTGCATCAGTTTCAGTTAAATCGGGGCTACTTCTGTGTGCAGACAAAATGGTGTTGTCCATGCATGAAACTGAGTAGAACAGTCCTCGCATTCCCATAGAGAAGCTAAGCTACAGACATTCCTTTGCTGTTATGTCTTGACAATGAATAGGTGGCTGGTGGCCTGAGACCACTGTGACCTTGTCTCATTGTTTCCTTGTGCTCCCCTGTCAGGCTGTATTTACCTGGGGTCTCTTACCTTATACTTAGATTGGAAGCTCTTTGGGCAGGGACCGCCTTTTTGTTCTGAGTTTGTACAGCACCTTGCACCTTGGGGTAGGCTCCATGGCTGAGGCTCCTAAGCACTTGCAATGCCAATAATACATAATAATAGGTCATGGTAATGCGAGACCATTGAAAGGGGAGACGTGGGAAGTTGTTAGAGAAACTAAGTCCCCGCTTCTCCCAGTAAAGGTCGTATTAACTGCTTCATAGCTCACCCTTTATTTGTGCTGCAGCTACTGAGTTTCTGCCATGGAAAACTTAACAGAAGGCATGCATGGCAGCAAGATCAGCGTGCTTGTCTTTTGCCACCTGTACATGGCACAGCTGAGGTGTTCCAGCCCAGAGGTGGCTGCATTTCAGCTGTGAGGGGAGTGATCCCTGCAGATATACAGGGTATGTCTATGGCACACTAAGCCTGGGCTCTGACTCAGGCCCCCCCGCCCTTCCTTCTGCAAACAAATCGGTCTGACTCCAATCAGCAAGAGCCCAAGTCCTGCTGTGACTCGGATCCGAGCCCTGTCATTTTGCAGCGTGGATAGCGGATGCAGCTCGAGCTGCAGACCTGAGTCAGGAGCTCTGCGTAGTGCAGTGTGGATGCAGTAGCACGGTCGTGAGACCCAGCTCCAGCCACTGTAAGCCCAGGTTTACAAGGCAGTGCGGATACTCAAGTGTGGTCTTGGAAACACCCAGTCCACAAGCTCGGGTCCCCAGACCCGGATTTACGATGCAGTGTAGACATACTCCTGTAGGCCTAGATCTTGGGCCTTGTGGGAGGCAGGCTGGCTGCTGCACCCGCGGGTGGATTGAGCCCAGGCTCAGAGCCCGAGCAAGCTGGATCAAAGCGCTTTGGGATGACAGATGTCGAATAAACGCCAGATCGCGTATGCGAGTGAGCTGTGAGAACAGCCTTGTTTGGGCTACACCAGGGGTTCTCAAACTGGGGGTCAGGACCCCTCAGGGGGTCGGGAGGTTATTACATGGGGAGGTTGCGAGCTGTCAACCTCCCCCCCAAACCCGCTTTGCCTCAGCATTTATAATGGTGTTAAATATACAAAAAAGTGTTTTTCATTAATAAAGGGGGTCGCACTCAGAGACTCGCTATGTGAAAGGGGTCACCAGGACAAAAGTTTGAGAGCCACTGGGCTACCCCCTCCTCTTTTCCCCCCTCCCCTGCCCTCTTTTCAGGCTGCGGCTCCTTTAAGAGCCGTCCTCGCCTTTAAGAGCAGACCGCCCTGCCCCTTTAAGGCGGGACGAGCCGGCCAGGCGCACGTGAGGCGGGAGTTGCAACACAGTAGCAACCATGGTGCGGGGAGGTCGCGCGCTGCTCGCTGGCCTGTGGCTGCTGGCGAGTGTCTCTTGCCTGCGGGGGGCCGCTGCGGGCTATCGCAGGAAGGTGAGCGGGGGGGACCTGGGGCTTTGCTCGTTTGCTGCAGGTGCAGGTTTAGCGGCTGTAGCCGCTTCAGGGGGCCGGGGGCTGGCCCCGGGGACACCCGTGCAAAGGGGGGAGCGCTCAGCCTTGGGGGGCTAGGCAGGGAGAGGGCCAGGGCCTGGGTCTGCAGGCGATGGCTGGGCTGATGGGAGTGGGGGGGCTGATTGGAGTCATTCAATTAGACCTGCAGCCCCTCCTCCTTCTCCCCGCGATGTTGTTGGCTGAGGGTTTTCTCTCCGTGCAAGTGTACCATCGCCTTGCCCGGCCCTTCCGGCTGTGTGCATCTTGCTGTGTGCATCATAGCTCAGGGGTTTGAGCATTGGCCTGCTAAACCCAGGGTTGTGAGTTCAATCCTTGAGGGGGCCACTTAGGGATCTGGGGCAAAAATCTGTCTGGGGATTGGTCCTGCTTTGAGCAGGGGGTTGGACTAGATCCCTCCTGAGGTCCCTTCCAACCCTGACCTCCTATGATGTCCTGTAAGGGGGACAAGCGGCTCTGCTCTGGGGAGGAAGGCAGGCAGGCGGGCGCTGGCTCTCCAGGAAGCTGGATTCTTACCCTGGCCCAGTTGCTACTAATGCTCCTTCCCTACAGCTGGGCCGGAGACCAGCCGGGGAGTGAAATAAACCAGAGGCCTGTAACTTGGTAGCCCCAAACAAACAGCTTGAAGAAAGGGTGGGGAAGGGGGGGCTCAGAACCCTGCTAATGGCCCCACATGGGGGCCTGGTCAGTAATAATTGAGGGTGTCCGGGGGGGACGACCAGCAGAGAGAGGGCAGGGAATGACTGGCTCAGGCAGACCCCTGTTGGCCCCTAGTGGGGGGTCCCAGCAGAGGCGCTCAATATGGCAGTCCTGGGGGGAGCTTGTCCTACAAGTGTCTGGAGGTCCTGTTCCTGGGGCATATTAGTTATAAATAAATAATATATGGAGCTATACCCATCTCCTAGAAGTGGAAGGGACCCTGAAAGGTCATCGAGTCCAGCCCCCTGCCTTCACTAGCAGGACCAAGTACTGATTGCCCCAGATCCCCAAGTGGCTCCCTCAAGGATTGAACTCACAACCCTGGGTTTAGCAGGCCAATGCTCAAACCACTGAGCTATCCCTCTCCCCCTCCCCCCCCCGTGTCGTAGTTCATGAATTCCCCCCCCCCCCCCCCCGCTCCCCCGCTCCTCCTTGTGATGGCCAGCTATCAGTCCTTTCCTCCCAGCACCCTCCTGGTTGTCAACAGCAGTCTGCTCTCCCCAGCCGGCCTCTCACTGGGTGACTCACGGGGGAACGACTCTTGCTTCTAGAGAGTTTCCGTCTTTCCCTGACAAGCCCTTTCGAAGCAGGAAGTGGAACTGCAAAGCAGGTTCCTTTCTAAGCCTGCAGGCTCCGGGCTAGCAACTGTGGGGCTTCTGCTTCTGCAAAGCGCTCTGGCTTCTTGGGACTTCCCTTTTTAGTTTTGATATCGCTTGGAAGAAGGGAAACCTCGTCTTAGATCTGCTCTACCCAGTCCTGCCTTGGGGGGTGGGGATGAACTAGATCACCCCTTGAGAGCCCTTCCAGCCCTACGTTTCTGTGGGTCTATGAAACCACCGTGCTTGTCCCAAGAGAACGCTGTTAGGGGTGTGATTTATTTTAACTTATTTGATATTTTTTTGGTTCGCAATATAGTTATACCAGTACAACCCTCCCAGTGTGGCTGCAGTTATACGGGTGTAGAGGTGCCTTGTACCGGTATCGCCTATTTTCCCTTCCCATAGAAGAATAACAGGAGGACTTGTGGCACCTTAGAGACTAACAAATTTATTAGAGCATAAGCTTTCGTGGACTATAGCCCACTTCTTCGGATGCATATAGAATGGAACATATATTAGAGCTTATGCTCTAATAAATTTGTTAGTCTCTAAGGTGCCACAAGTCCTCCTGTTCTTCTTTTTGCGGATACAGACTAACACGGCTGCTACTCTGAAACCTTTCATAGAAGAATAGTTAGACATCATGCCATTTATATTGGTATGCCGCCTCCACACTTGTATGGCTTCAGCTATCCTGGGGTAGGTGAAGTGGTACAACTTTTTTGTGGGTTTCGACAAGGCTTTATGTTATGCCTGGGGAGTGTTTGTCGTCTGTCCCGTGTAATCAGAGCATTGAAGCAAGACCAGCCGCAAATCTCTTGCTTCTCCCATTTCCCCTGCATCAGAAAAAAACTGAAAATCGATGTCCTTCCCTTCCCTTGGTTTTTGAAATTCTGCTCCTTTTGGTCAGATACTTTGGCCCAAGTGAAGCACACAACAAAACCAGAGGCTGCTTGATGATGGGAGCTCTGTCTAGATGGTTTGGATGATTCGATGGGTCTCTTCCAACTCTTTAACGTCTGGAGCCTTGTGTGCCAGACTGACGATATCTGGTGCAAACCTGATGGAATTAGAAGACGCCTTCTCGAACTGGGTTTAGTACCTGTGGGGTCTATTGTATTCAAAATGCAGTTGTGTGTGTGACTATGAAATTGTACCTCATTCCTGTAGGAGGAGAGGAGGTGAAGCCCTGTCTGCCAGGGAAGGATGGTCTAGTGGTTAGGGGCGAGCCTCTGGCTTGGGAGACCTGGGCACAGTTCCCAACTCGGCCCCAGATTCCTTGTGTGATATCAGGCAAGCCGCTTAGTCTCGCTGGGCCTCAGTTTCCCCCCATCTGTAAAAGGGTGGATACTTCGCTACCTCACAGCAAATGTTTTCTCAGGCCTAGATGCTGTGGTAATAGGGTCCCAGACAGGTAAAGGCAGCCTAAGGGGCCAATATAACGCAGACCTCCAGATGCCCAGTGACCCTAAGGAGTCCAAGGCTGACAATCCTGGCCGAAGCTTGTCCTGCCACTGCCCAGCAGGGCACGGGCTGAGCGGAGTCTAATGAGCTCAGGAACGGTCTGTGTGTGTGAATAATGCCCTGCCTGCTCTCTGCCTCCCACCGCCCAGGTGACCCTGCAGTCCGTCCCCGGCTCGAACAGCTCCTCCGCCAACCTCCTGCACGTGCGGGCCGTGGGCCGGAACAACACCCTGCACTACGTGTGGAGCAGCATTGGGGCGCCCACCGTGCTGCTGCTCTACACCCGGAGTGAGAGCAGCGCCCTGCGCGTCAACTGGACCAAGCTCCTCTCGGCCTCCCCCGCCGGGGCCATCTGGATCGAGCCGCCCGGCAGCGTCGTCTACTCCACCGCTGTCGTCTTCACCAAGGTCAGGGGCGGCGGCAGTGGTGGGTCAGAGCCGAAGGAGCCACCTGCTTGACTCCCGGCACAGCTGGTCCTAGAAGGTGGCATTCAGCTCTGCCACATAAGGCATCTGGCTGCCCTCTGTTCGTGCCCATTTGCTGCCTGATGTGGGGCTGTCCCTATGCAGCCTTCTCCAGTGTGCTGTCCCCTATCTGCTTCCCCGGGAGGGAAGGGGGGTGCTCACCATTTCCCTTGGGGTGAGAACCCTGCTGTGGTTGCAAGTTGGGGAAACTATGCTGCCTCTTCGCCTGTGTGCTGTGCCTTTAAATTTCTGGCAGGAGGCAGCTCCTTCCTGGGGGGGCGGAACAAGCCCCAGTGAGCATGCAGGTGGGATGAAAGGAGGGGGAGGGGTTTGCAATGGACGGTGCCTCCCTCAGTAGTCAGGGGAAATAGGTGGAACATGCATGGTGCCCTGCATTGCCAAGGGACTGGGGTCTAGTATGCACGTGCATGGGGGTGTGTGTTTCAAGTCTCTTCCAATTCAAATCGAGGCCCCTCTCCCTCCTGCTGCCAGGTGTTCGAGTACAATGGGGCCAACGTGTCGGCCCTCTCCAAGGGGCAGGAGGAGCCGTTCTACGCCCCCTATGACCTGGCTGGCTTCTCCTGGCAGAGTGTGAACCACACTGTGAACCAGACGGCCCTCACGGCCAAGTTCCAGGGGGTGGACACCTCAGACCCTGGGGGGGCCTTCCACAATGGCACCATCTCCTTCCAGGTGAGGCAGCCCTCCCCCGCCCCACTTCCTTCCCGGGCGAGGAGTCTGTTGCTGCTAGCCGTCCAAGGGTGTGACCCAATGCCCACTGAGACTGATGGGAGGCTTCCCAGGAGCTCTGAATTGGGGCCCCTTGGCTATACCCCCTGTGCCATTGGCTATATGCTACACACCCTCCATGCACCCCTCTAGCCCCCCACCAGGCTCTCAGCTGCCTCTCCTCTGTTGCTGTCGACCCTCTCCCTGTCCTGTACTGGTTCTCTGGTCTCCTCCCCAGCCCTGTTGGCATTCCCCAAACAGCATTCTTCCCCCTCCCCCACATGTATACCCTTCCCCTCACCTCTTCCTGATCAAGTAGGGGAAAGGGCTTCCTCCCTGAGCTTACAGCAGGGCCATGGTTAGGCGGGGATGGGTTGGGACCTGCTGCAGGACTACCAGAAACCACCCCCCATTTTAGCCCTCAGGGAATAGAACCCCGGAGTCCTGGCTCCCAGTCTCCTGTGCTGTAGCGTGAGAGCGTTCCCCAGAGGATGGGCCACTCCTCACTGGTTCCTCAGTGTCCCAGCAAGACCCATTGGTTTCTCTGACCTTCTCCCAGCCCCCAGGACTGTTTGGAGAAGGTTCATAGATTAAGGCGAGACGGGGCCATTCTGATCCTCTGGTCGAACCTCCTGTAGAACACAAGCCAGAGAACCTTGCCCAGCAATTCCTGCATCCAGCCCGTAACTTCTGGGGGAGCTAGTGTGTCTCCTGAAGAAAGACATCCAGGCTTGAGTTAAAGGCTGCAAGGGATGGCGAATCCTTCAGGGCTGAGGTGCATTGTTATTCCAATGGTCACGCCGCTGGGCTGGATAATCTGGCAGTTTCATCGCCGTAGGCTCCTTCTGGTTGCTGTAGGGCGTATGGAGTTATAAGGGGTGTTGTGACGAGTCCCCCTTATCCTTGCTGTAACACTTGTTATGGTAGCACTGGGTACCCACCTAGTGCTGGGTGCTGCACAGACATGATGCAGTCCCTGCCTGTAAGAGCTGACAACGGACAAGGGAGGGTGTGGGGGGAAACTGAGGCATAAAGAGGGAAAGTGACTTGCCCAAGATCACTCAGCAGGTCAGTGGCCGTGCTGGGAGCAGACCCCATGAGTTCTAAGTCCTGGCCCACTATTCCTCTCATGCCTCTGCCCCCAGGTGACTGCCTACGAGCAGGGTGGCCGGGATGGCCCCCTCCCTCGCCTCCTGCACACCGCCAACAGCTCCAAGGTGGAGTTCATCATGGACAACGTGGCCCCGCGCGGCAACAGTTCTCGCTTCATGCTGGAGGTGGTCACGGTGGAGGAGAAAGGCGGGCGCAAGAGGCTGCAGTCTGTGCGGTCCATTGATGACGAGTACACGCCCACCATCTTTGAGGTGAGGGCTAGGGGGTGCTAGGGTGCTGAAAGATAGAGGCCAATTAGGAGCCCACGGTAATGGGCACCACGTAGGAGCCGATATAGAATAGAATGGGGAGGGAAGAGGCTGGAGCAGGAGTGAATATGACCCATGTTGAGGGGGGTGTCCCATTCTAATGGCTGACGCATATATTGAGGATAAGAGTCTACTACCAGTGACAGCGAGTGGAGTTCCTCCTTTAGCTCAAGTGGTAGCGGTGGAGGCCCTTGGTGCTGCATGGTGCTAGTGACCTGAAGAGGTTGTGATCTTGGCAGGGGACGACACGCAGATTTAAGTCCAGGTTGGTTGGAAAACCAAACTTCCTGAGAGACATTGCTTGTTTGGGTTGGAATTTTTGTCTTTGACGGAGACTTTCCAGACTGCTCTAATTCTTAAGCTTCAAAGGCTAAGGTTAGCAAAGGGCCCTTCACCTAATATTTGTCCCCACGATGTTTTGTTTATGGCTTCTACGACCGGTCTGTGCTATTCTGAAACTTCCCTTAGGAGCCTGCTTGTATGGGAGAAATCCAGGCACGAGAAAGGGAAGTCACTTGCCTGAGTCGGTGCCAGAGCTGGGAAAGGAACCCAGGAGTCCTGGCACTCAGCTTTGACCAGCAGAATTTGCTCTCTGGATTCTGTCCTGGGCACTGGAAGGAATCCTGGCTCTCAGCCCCCCTGCTCCCTCCCAGGGCTGGGGACAGACCACAGGAGTCCTGGCTCCCAGCTCCCCTGCTCCAGCGTGAAAGCAGTTGGTCGTCATGCCCTTGCTTCGGCTGCCCTCTTAACGTGTTGCTCTCTCCCCTCTCTCTGGGTGGGGGCAGATGGCCCAGCTGGTGTCCGAGCCCCGCAACGACAGCATCGGCCCGAGCTTCTTCCAGTGGAAGACGACTGCGTACGGCTCCAGGGAGGCCAGCCGGGAGAATGCCATCCGCTGCCGCTACCACCCCCTGCAGACAGCCAACCGGACGCTGCCAGGGCCCAGCATCGCACATGCCTACTTTGGGGAGGGCCTGGACCGCAGCCACCACATCGCGGCCATCAATATCTCCTTTGGCGGCGAGGACGGGGAGGTCTACGCTGAGAAGGGCTACCTGAGCTGGTGAGTGGTACCTTCCTTCTGCTCCCCTGCCTGTCTGAGTGGTATCTCCCCGCCCGTCTTCTACCCACTACCCCTGCAGAGTGCTGCACATGTGCATGGACGGGTGCAGCCCCTGCCCTGAAGATCTCCTGGCTGAAGGCTTCTGTTTGGCTCCCTGTAGTTGGCGGCTGCTGCCCCACTCCCTCTCCCGACAGGCCTGTGGCTTGGAAAGGTCAGTCACTGAGCCCCATTTCTCCCTGCCCTCCAAGTAGCTTCCTGTGTCCTCTGCCACGGGCTACTTCAAACTCCCCCCAACTATCTCTGCACAGAAGGGAAGTGACTGGCCTGCAGGGCAGAGGCAGGATTTGAACCCGGGTCTCCCAAGTCCAGTGCCTTAGCCCCAAGGCCATCCTCTGTCCCCATTGGTGGGAGGAAGGAGGCCATGGGACTCCGCTGATTGGCCCAGACCGGCCTCTTCATCACTGGCTAGCCTCTTCCTTTGCTCCCTGCTTCCCCCAGGTCTGCCTTGCTCGGCTTCGGCACGCCCCCGAAAGACGCCTTCTCTCCCCTCGTGATGGCCATTGTGGTTGTGGCCCTGGGCACCCCCGTGGTGCTGCTGCTGGTGGGAGGCCTTGTGGTGCTGTTCGCACGGAGGAAGCGCCGTTCCCAGTACGAGCCCATCAACTGACTGACGTGGGCAGGACTCGGAAACAGCTAGCGCCGGCCACGGTTCTCTCGCCGGACCCTCGGGCTCCCCCAAGGCTCCTGAAGTGACTGCTCATGGGAACTTATTTATTAATAGCCACGGTTACGCGTCCTCGTCTCTCTCTATCTCCACGGCCCGGACCCCTCGTCACTCCAGGCTCCGAGGGGAATAGTGCAATGACCTGCAGTGCTACCTCCGCACCCTGGCTCTTCGGTGCTCGGCATGGGGGGGATGGGAAGGAGACCCGCCCTGTATTCATAACTGTTCGGCTGTCGGATGCCTTGAGGATGGACTGATCCATTTCTCCCTTACTGCTTCTAAAAGACTTTTAGGGGGTATCTGGCACTGAGGTTCTCCATGGGGGCCCTAGAATACATTCCAGGGCAGGGCTGGGATCCGGCAGGACTTGCCCAAGAAATGCCTCACTTCGGGGGTCAGAAACATTAGCAGTTTCTAGGCCAGTGTCTAGCGTCTCCCTTCACTCCACCCATCAGCGTGCCTGACCCGGCGTTCACAAACACAGAACCTTCCCATAGGGCACTGTGCAAGGTGCTACCCAGCTTCTGGTTTTAATCGCTGCTCTTGTTTTAAACCAGCCGGCGAGGGATTGTGGCTCAAGGGAGGGGGTTGGTTGTGTTCACCACTGGGAGCAATGATCTTCTGTCTCTTTAAAAAGGAGAAACCACTAGTCGTCTTCTCCCTCAGAGGCTGGGTCACAGAAAGCAACGTGCCTTTGCTGTATAAATCACCGGCTTGTGAGCAGATCAACCTAGTTACACCCCGCCCACGCCACCCGCTTGAGTGTTTTGTAAAGTCACCAGTTCCTTGGATGGTGTCACGCGGTTCCACCACTCGGCTGCATGCTCACCAGTGAGGCGATCTGCCGCCCGTGAATTCTGACTGTACCTGGGACGGTTAAAAAGTTGCCTTTTGCCAATAGGGCAGAGGCTTTTCAGAATGAACCAATGACTTTGGGGTGCGTCAATGTTAGGTGTCCACCATGAGTCCCCTTAAAAGGGGCCAGATCTTTATTTCTTTTGTCAGAGGGTCGGTGCTCGGCCCTGTCTGCAAAACGGGGCCTCTTTTAAGCTACCTCAGGTTGGGTGCCCAAAAAATCACCAGTCCCTTTTGGAAAACCTTGGCCTGAAAGGTCTAAATTCTGAGTGTCAAGGACTCTTCTTCCCCCCCACCCCCCCGCTTGCAAGTTCCAGATCCCATTGCTGTTACGCCCCTATTCTCACTCTGCTGAGTTTGCTCGGAGAAGCCAGCTCTGAACATGTTACTTGAAATCTCCCCAAGCACCCTCACTTGGCTGTATGTAATTCACTCTGTGTTTGAAAGGTGATCACAGGTTTTCTTCACATGCTTCTATCTTTTTTTGATCTGCCTTTTAGACCAATTAAAGAATATTTTTAAGACCTCTGTGCCTTTGGGTAGCTTTGTTCATATGGAGGGCCAGGCTGGTGGTAAATGTATATTCAAGTAGTGCTTGGGGCCCCAGGCTGGCTGCTGGGTGAACACGGAAGTAGCCCATCCCTGCCCCCCGGATTGAAATAAATGTTCATGTGTCCTGCTCAGCCAGGAAAGACCATGGTGGGCAGCAAGGTCCAGTGGTCAAAGGGCATTCCAGCTTCATTGCAGGAACATCCACCAGGGATAATGATGAAGATAGTAAAAATTATTGAAAGGGAGTAAGTCTTCGCTGATATCACTATTGGCTGGGAAACAAAATCCTAGTTTTTCCTCTAGTGCTGAATGGGTCCCAGCTCTCTGGGGGCCTGTTTTTAATTTTTTTTTCCAACTAGTTTTACTATCGAGGGCTTCTGGCTCTTGTGTGGGTCACAGTAAAAAGCCAATCCCGTAAGATCTCCCAGGTGAACCTGGCTTAGCTGGTGCCTACAGGGCAGACCCATAGAGGAGCTGGTTGTGGCCGATTTGGTGTGGTGGTCTGATGCAGTGTCCCAGCTGGGGGTTAGGTGGGATTGTGTTGCTGGAGGGGTAGCTGCTCGGGTGAGAGGTGAACTGAATTGCCCAAGGCCATTTTGGGTACAAGGGCAGTTGTTTAGTGTTCCAGCCGAATTCAAAATCTCTGGAATTTACCTTTCTCCCCACTGTCTCAGTTGGCACCGGATGTCGCTCCCCATTCTGGATGACTCTTTCCTGTTGCTCTGCTACAGTGTTCAGCCCCAGAACTGCCTGCATTTCCCCAGGGGAAGAAATAATTCCTATATGTCACACCAATAGGTTTGTGATCAATTTTTAATGGTTACCAAATAGCTTAAGGTGCAAGGTAGTCGCGTAGCATCCTCTCTCTCTGCCTAGGTTTGATCTATGTCCATCATGGTGCAATAACATGGGTGTTGCTAACAGAGCAATATCTGAGTCCGCTCCCTCCCCTAGCAAGTGACAGCAAGACGCTGGAGAGTAGAGAATCAAACCGAGCCTGGCCTCGCTGCTGGCTCTGAGCATGTGGGAACTGGTGTCTCAGTTGGTACAGGTTACTTCTGGATCGCAGACGAGGCGTTTGCCAGCTGTTCTGTAGTGTTTAGTGCTATCCTGCCCGCCATGTGAAGTGAGAAACAGGTGAGGTAGCAGTCGCGTCGGCTTAGGTAAGGTCCTAAAGCAGAGGTGGGGCCCAGTGTTCGAATCCAAACTCTACGGCTCCAGGGTGGTTGAATGAGAGTTTCTGGTCCAGTCCCATTTCTAAGCTAAACAGTTCTTGCCTTTATGACAAGGGATCTGTTCTGGCTCCATGCCTCCAGCTGTCTGGGTGGGTGGCTGGCTGTGATATATTGCACACAGGTCTAGCAGTGTAAAGGGGAGCGCAGAGAGCTTTAGCATGGAGGGCACTGCCCCTGTCTGGGATGAACTTGTGCGCCGCTCCCCCCACCCGCAAGCTAATTAAGTTAGTTAATGGGACAACTGTCTGCTCTGTCTATGAATAACAGTAATAACCTCTAATGCTATCGAGCTCGCTTCACCAAAGGAGCTCAGTGTCATCTCCACTTTACTGAAGGGGGGGGAAACTGAGGCACAGAGTGGGGAAGTGATTTGCTCATGGTCACCCAGTGGGCCTCAAGCATTGCTGTGCCAGCGTGGTGCGGATGTGCTCTTGTGATGAAATCCTGGCACCACTCACATTGACTTCACAGCAGCCAGGGCTTTACCCCAGGAGCCTGGGTGCACTTGCACTGCGCTATAGACATGGAGCGTCTAACCTGTGGAACTTCCTGCTTCAGGACTCCAGCGGGATGATTCTTAAAAAGACAGGATCATGGGGTGCTCGGCTCCAGGGTTCATTGCAGATCAAACCCCACACGCTTGTGCTGAGCGTTCACAGGCTTTGGTGCTGAACGTGCCGCCCTTGTGATGTTTCTGTATCTACGATTCTGGGCTAAAGCAACCCCAACCTCATGCTGCAAGTCTGAAGGAGTCAGGTAGGAATTCCATGTTGCTGGTGGTTTCATCTTCCTTTGGCTGTTCCTGCAGATGAGACCAGACCAGGAGCCTGATGCAGTTTGGATTTTTTTTTTCTTGAGGCTGGTTGGAAGAATGGTGGGAAGAAACACTTTCCTGTCAGGAAATGGGGTTTCACCAACATGGACCCTTTCCAGCAGGAAAATTTAAACGCTGCCTGAGCTACCATGGTGCCTCCTGCCCAGACTACGTCTTCCATGATACACCAAGCAGCATGAGACTGCAGTGGCTCATGGGAAATGTAGTCTAACCAGTGAACTGAACCCACAGGCAAGCATGAGTCCCAGAACTATAACTCCCATCAGTCATTGCAGCCTCTCAGGAAGGCAGGGAGCTTAATATCAACTCGCCACAATTAGACACTTGCAAATTGGAATTTTTTTTTAGAACTCTTTAGATAGGATACTGAGCTAGACGGGCCATTGGTCTGACCCAGTATTGCCATTCTTATGTTCATTAAAAGTTTTGAGACAGTTTTTTCTCCAAATAAGCCTGGAAACAGATACAGAAATACTGGAATTCCCTGCAGGATGGAAAGCGTGATCATTTATTTTTTTAAATCTACTCTGCTCCTTTGATACAAGACCTTCCAGGTAGTTTAAAGTGACTGAACCAAGCTCTGCAACTTATGAAAGTAAAAGATCCTTTATTTATTTATTCCCCCCCCCCCCAACAAAAATGCAACAGCACTCCCTCCCCAACTTGCTTTCTCTTAGGCCCCCATTCAAAGCCCTCTGCAGTCAAGGGGAACTCCTCTGTTGATGGCACTTGGCATTGGATTGACCCACATCTATCATCACCGCCTCCTCTGGGAGAACCATTCACCCTCGACAAGAACATTGCAGCTGGCGCATTGCAAGTGACGCGTGAACAAGAAAAATAAATTTATGGCAGGGTCTAGTGGGCCAAAAACAATCCTCCACACCCGTGGTAGGTGCCAATTCTCTTTACTGGCCATGAAACGCCTCTCTAAGAGGGAGGGACAGCTCTTCATACACAACACTGGCTTGCCTGCCTGTAACCCCGGGTTACCCTGTCACCCTGCAGCTGGCTTAACATGCTTGCAAAGGAATGCTTGGAACCCTAGACTAGGTTTTAGCCCCTAACTTTTACCAGACGGGCTGTGAGATCTTGTGTTTCTCGGACAAATATTGATGTCTCTATAAAGTGTATATAAAAAAGCAGCTCGCTCTTTTTAAAAGAAGAGAGTTGGTTAAAACCAGCCTTTGGGAAAACAAAGGGTGGCATGATGGGAAGCAACAGAATTTTGTTTCAATGCTTTAAGGCTGCAGCGGGTGCCGTCTATCCCCTGCAGGTTTTTCTCCAGCACCTCTCAACCACAGTGTGGAAGCCCAGATACACCTACCCCCAGGTAGATGGCAAAGACCAAGATTTGCAAACGTGATAAGGGACTTTTGGGGGGGGGGTGCTCCTGTGAGCAGCTGTGATGGGGAACAGGGCAGCTGCGTAGTCTAGTTTCCCAGTTCCATGGGACTTTGGCATGGCTGCAGCCTGGCACCAGCGTTTGTTCACTAACAGCGCTGAGGGAAATGCTTGGATGAGGCCGCTGTTGGGTGGCAAGCACGTGGGTGCCCAAAGCTTCGGGGGCACGAGAGAATCGCCGTTGACGGATGTAGACTGAACAGCCAGGCAGTCTGAAGGACCTGAGACTGAACTGGGTGCTCGAGCTGCAGGGAGGCTACAGGATTTGCTAGGAGGAAGGGGAGCGCAGGAGAGCGAAGGCCACGAGCAGCAGGAGCTGCTGCAGGGACGGACTGACAGAGAGGAAGAGGGGCAGGGTGGAGGGAGAGAAAAGAGAGAAGCAGAAAGCGTAAAGGGGATTCTGTTTTCCCACTGAACACCCAGTCTGAGACCCCTTTAAAGGGGCCTGATTTTCAGAGGCTGCCTGCTTGATTCTTTTCTGACAGCGGGGGGCCTCTAAGGGGCCTCAACTCAGACAACCCAAAATGGCAAATTAAAAAAAAAAAAAAATACTTAACCTGAATTCCCCCCTGCTTCTGGCCAAATCAACCTCCTTCCCCAAATTGTCCCTGTGAGATGCACACTGACCATAACAGGGTCTGCGGTGCTGCTGTGTTCCAGCCCAGAGGTGGCTGCATTTCACGGGTGCCCTGCTCCTGTCTAGAACAGGTTGCAAAGCTGCCATCGATTGTGCTAGAATGGAGGCTGGGCGGGAAGTAAAGTGCGTGGAAGGCACAAAAGGCTTAGTTGTAAATCTGGAAGGATTCCGGATGCTTTTACATTCCTTTTAAGACACCACATGGGCCTGAGCTTCAAAACCTTGCAGCCAGACTTCCCCCACAGCGTTTGGGGTATATTGGCTCTAGGGGGTTCTGCTGGGGGTCCCTCGAGCTTTGGTCTTGTGTTTTTTGGTGGTGGGTTTCAGGGCCGGCTCCAGGGTTTTTGCCGCCCAAAGCGGTGGTGGTGGTGGGGAAATTGCGATCGGTGGCAGCTCCACCGCGCCGCTTTCTTCTTCGGCAGCAATTCGGCGGCCGGTCTTTCCCTCCGGGAGGGACCGAGGAACCCGCCGCCGAAGAGCCCGACATGCCGCCCTTCCCCTTGGCCGCCCCAAGCAGCTGCTTGCAGAGCTGGTGCCCGGAGCCGGCCCTGGTGGGTTTATTCTCTGCCATTCTAAATACTGCCCCCGGCGCATATTAACAGGAAAGCAGTTAATGTCCCCCACCATGTAGGGCAGGGGTCTCAAACACGTGGCCCACAGAGTTATTTGCTGCGGCTCGCCAAGCCCCCCCGGAGTTATTTCTTGCGGCCGCCAAGCTCCCCTCCGCCACCGTGCCGCGTCGCCGCTCCTCTGCCTACCTCCAGGCGCTTCCTGTCGCCAAACAGCTGTTTGGCAGTGCTTAGCGCTTTCCAGGAGGGAGGGGGAGGAGTGGGGAGCCAAACACTCAGGGGAGGAGGTG